GAGAATACATGAATGAATTTTAACTCTGTCTCAATTCTTACAAAGCACAGGTCGAGCATCAATACAATACAGGATTGACTGCTATATGTCTTTATGTTCTAGTACCTCCATCAGYTGAAAAGCCAGATAACATCTGCCTTTGACAAAGAAGAAAGGTCAAAGGTTGCACCAGTCCAGATATTCCTAAACATGTGCCTTGCCTGTTGTTTGTTGTAGGAAGGACAAAAAGTCGCCGGAGGTTGTTCAGCTGCATCATGCAGCACCTGACAGAGAACCACAAGGTGTGGAAGAAGATCATCGAAGAGGAGGAGAAGAGCAAAGAGCTTGGCACACAGCAGCAGCCAGACAGCTTGCCCACCTCCTCTTCAGATGACATCCAGGTCATCCAGGAGGAAGAGGAGGGAGAGGAGCGTCAGTAGCAGGAGGACAGAGGAACGAGCAGAGAGGAGTAGCTGTGTGAGGACACAAATCCCTCCACCATCTGCCTTTAACTGACAGTTTATAAATGCACATAAAACGTACTTTATTCCCACTATCTAATGAACAACACACACACACACGCACACACACATACATTGAAAGAGTCACTGTGCAGACAGTCAAATGCTTAAGCAGTCACGGTGTTTTTGGAGAAACAAAACGGCCTTACTACTGTGAGCGGATCCTTACTGCAACGGTGGGGGCCCAACCCCTGAGCACTTTCATCCCATGGAGGGTCGAGAGCACCCAGAACTGACGACGGTGCAGAAGCAAGAGTGTGGACYGGGTTCAGCCTTAACTTTTTCCTCCATGGTAAATGGGCTGTGATGCTGCCTTGAATGCAAAGCGCTTAACACCTCCCAATAGGTACAAAATAGTTCCTGTTTATTTAAAATGAAAATAAAGAAAGAAGGGTAGAGGAAAATACTAAAGCAGGAGACACACTGAAARAGGAGAAGCCTTTACCAAAGTGAACAGTTTGTTTATGGAACGACAAGAGACTGAAACTACTCAGCCTCATATATATATATAT